TAAACCACAGGCGGGGGGGAAGGGGGGAAGGGGAGGGGTAGAAATGACATGAAGCCTTTCCCCTGTATTGTTTCTGCTCTAAGGATTTATTAAGCAACACACAGCAGAGCAAAACCAAGGACCATGTAAATCTAGCCAGCTGGGAAGCACACTGCATGAATCTCAAAAAAGAACATGATTCTTAGCCCATTTTCCCAAAACTGAAAAACTTTCTTCTTCAACCACAGACATTTTTACTTTGTGGGCTTTTGGACTGTTTTATGGATTCTGAAATAGGATTTCTACAGATAACAAAGAAACATTCACTGATTCCATCTCTTGGCAGTAAAGCTTGGAGGTGGAAGTGAAATGGACTGAGGTGAGGAATCAAGGCCCTCACCCTGGCTTTGCAGAGGTGACCTATCCTAGGCTCAAGGAGAAATAAGAAGAGGCCTTTTCTTTGTACTTAGCCCTTACTTGGGCAAAGAAAAATGCCATAAAAATGCAGAATTACCAACCACCTGCTAATATTTAATACATACTACTTTCCTCAGACCTTAATAAATAACATTGACTCTGTATGTGTTTGTGTGTGTGTGTGTGTGTGTGCGCGCGCGCGCATTTGGATTTTTGTTTTTGTTGTTGCGTTTTGTTATTTCATTGGAAGAATACTGACCATTTTTCTGGCAATGCAACTGTAACAGAGCAAAGAATAATCTAGCAATCACATTACACTGCTACAGTCAAATCTGACATTCCTGAAAATCTGTGCAATGCATTTGTGGGGGGAACGGGGGGAGCAGGACCTACAGCAAAGGCCCAAAGCTGGACTCTCTCAAGTCATGCTCACTGATCAGGATGCTGAGCACACACAAGTTTTCAAGGAACAAAGAGAAGGGGAGAGAGCAAACCACAGGAAATTAACTCAACACCAGCTGACTTCTCACCAGGCTCACAACAGATTAAATAAAATATATGTGAAGGGGCCCTTTACTAAGAGATGGTTCTAGAGAAATCTGGGGGGAGGACATGCTTGTCTTGTCCTTACAGCCCAAAGTGACCACAGGACACTATAGCGGAGATTCATACTTTAAGGTCAAAGAAAATATCTACTGAGCTAACGTGAAAAATATTCCCAAGTCCTAGAGTTCAGCTGGCTTTGTGATCACTCACCTTTCCTTTGTCCTTAGTTCCTCAATTAGGACAAGCAATTCCTAACTCAGGCCATCTTCCCGCCCCAGGGGTAAGAGACGCTGCACAACCATCTGTCACCACAAAGTCATCAAACATAGCAAACTGTTCAAGTTGATTTTTTAAAAATCAAAAAACAAGCAAGTCATCACCATGGTAACTATGAATGTAGCCCACGAGGCCTGTCTGAAAAGTCAGCAGAAGACCGTACCTCTCAGTTTATACATCTCTCCGTTGGCAGAGTACACGACCAGCATGTGCGGAGCTTCGTCGCTCAGGGACACAATGGCTCCAGATAAAGACAGGGCTCCTCGAGGCTTCTGGTGCTTGCTCTGCTCATTCACAAAATACTGCAGGAGGCCAGCCTCAAAGTCCAGCACAAAGTACCTGTGCAGAGAAACCACAAGGCATCACTTTCTCCCCTAGCCCATTCCTCACATGGGGGTAGAAAAGGAAAGGGAATCCTTAAATGGCATCAAGGCTCTAATTCCAGAAAGCTGGAAACCAAAAGTCCCCACCAGGTGCCTTTGGAAGTCAGCCCCCCAAGTCAGGAGAGAGCACTTGATTCCCAAGTCAGAAGGGAGCCTGTGACAGGCACTGTGGGGAAGCACTAGGTCCATTCAGGATTCGGTGCAATGCCCACCACTTCACCTGGTGCCCACGGACACCACAGTAAACCTCAGAACAGCCACAGAACAGCAGATGCATTGGGACACAGGCTGTTAACATGCTCCACAGGACTTCACAGGAATAGCTGGAATTCTCTAAGCCTCTACTGAGAGGCCCTTTCACACCCTGGTAGCAGCAAGCTGGGCCTGCCAGCAGCAGGGGTATCGTGAGAAGCCAAGCAGCTGGGGTCACCTGGCAGGGAACTGGAGGTGCTTACACAACCACCTGGGCACACTCGTATTTCATACAAAGAGACAATTATTTCCTCCACTCTGGGAGGTGGCAATGCCATTGGGCTCCACATCCAGGATGGGGGAGGAAAAGGGCAACTGCAAGTTGCCTAAACTGCTCAAACAAATCTTTGTGGCGAAATTATCTGGCCTAGTTACACTCTCAATCTATCCCTCCAGAAGTAGTTAGGACAACTTCCCCTTCTCTACCAGGATGGGAATTTCTGCACCTGAGACTCAAATTCTTCCCATGGCCTAGATGCCCAGCACAGTCTCTGCTGACTTCTCCCCCTTCTCGCTTTCCACTCCTCCCACCTAGTCCTCACTTGCCTCCCACCACAGGACCTTTGCTCATGCTGTCCCCCCGGCCTGGAGCAGTTACTCCAAGTGTGGTGCACAAATACTAGTGGTTCCCAAAGTGTTACCAGTCCACAACAGCTTTTTGAAATCTTTCCTGCAACTTTGCTTTGCTTCAACTCCCAGCTGCAAGATCAGTGGGTTCGTCTCATAAAACAGTCCAGATGTTGTCCAACACACATGGCACACATAAGTTCCATGCTAGTCACGAAGCCACCAGAATGCAATTGAGGGAGGAAAATAGCAAGTCCTTCACCAAGGTTGGAGAAATACTGCCCAGAAAGCTATCCCCTCCCCCAAAGCCTAGAATATGGTGTCCTCCCCATTTTGACATGTCAACTTCTCAACCTTCAGGAGCAAATCAAGTACCACCCCCTTGAGAAAGCTTTTCCTGACCAGGTCCAGTGTTCCTCCCACAGGCTCTCACAGCACCTTAAAATGATACTTCCTGGCCGTGGCCCCACCAGGAGTCTACGTTCGCAGGATTATCTGACTCAGTGTCTAGTTTCCCTGACAGACTACACACTGCTTGGAGGAGGAGCTGTTTCCCCCCAGTGCCCAGCACAGTGCCTGCCATTTTGTTGATACTGTTAAAACTTATTCAACGAATGAATGAAGGGGGAAGAAACTACTAAATTCCACAATTTCTAATCCATGCACCAAAGCACCTGGGCGTTGCTACTGTGAACTCACAGGGCACTGCAAAGCACTTTACATTCGAGGGGTCACAGTGATCCTCTGTATAGGTCAGACACCATGCACACGACTACCTCGGATGGTTTCCCAGTTTTGATATTAGATTGCACGACATCATTTCGTTGCAAAGCTGGGTTTTCAGCTGGTGCTGGGAATAAAAGCAAACATCCACGTGGAACAGGAAGAGGGCAGCAATGCCCAACATGGCTCCAGGGTTTGGGAAACTGTGCAGCATCCGCAGGTGCACACATCACGTCAATGCGTAATCGTGGTCATTTAATAAAGAAATAAAAATATACTGCTTTCCATTTTTGTTTATTATTTTTTCAGATGGCTACTGAGTTGTAAGGACATAAATCTGTACGAAGTTGTTTGGAGCTAGCCTCTTAAATAAAACTGCAGAATTGTTTTAACCTATAAGCACCACGAACCAAGAAAGTTTACAGACCTCTGACCTAATTCATTCTCACAGCAACCTAACAACTATGCATGATCCCCATTTCACAGATATCCTGAGACTTAACGAAACTCAAAGCCAAGTCCCGCTCATCTGTTACAGACCTTGAGATCCAAGGACCGGGCTCTGTTCACTCTAGCATCATCAACTCGCCTTTGTTTCTCATCGACTCTCTCTGTCACACACGCACTTTCACACACACATTCAAATGGAGGTGACCTACAAGGCAACTTGAGATCTCCACCATAAGTATGACAAAGGCACAAGAAGGAAGGTGCCTGGGTCCCCGAATCACCCCCTGGAAGAGTCACCTGCTGAGGAACACCCACATTAGACTGCTACATGAACAAGAAAGCTCTGTTTCATCAGGCCACTAAGATCAAGACCTGTTACAGCAGCCAGCTTCACAAATTCACCAAAAATCTTTTTAACTTTCTACTTTCAGATCCTTAAAATGTGCTCCTACTCCTTTATGTGGGATGAAAACCAAAGTCCGTCAATGAGAGAACAACTACGGTAATTTCTGAGCTGCCAGTGGTCAAATTACTTAAGTGCTGACCCCGTCTTCTCTTTAGGAGTAAACGTGGCGAACCTGACCTATATTTGATGTCACTGTGACTGTAGCTGTGTGGATACTGCTCCCGGCAAGTCAGGGCGCTCACAGCTGTGACCCTCACAAGTGTGGAGAAGGAAACCTGGCTCCAACTACCGCACTGTGTGTCCCCCACCCCCACCCCCAGAGCTATGGCCTCCCCACTAATAAACACACCACCTTCACACAGGGAGGGGGAGCAGAAAAGGAAGGGGATACCCGAAAAGGCTTCAAGGGAAAGGCATACACTGCTGGTTGGGAGGAAGGGCTTAATATCTTTCTCCCTCCTGTTTCTATCAACTTATCTATCGGGAACCTGTCAGCCTTGATCTCTCCCAGAGACAGCTTCCCCAATGCATCCTGTTCAAACGACTAACCACATATTTGCAAAGGACATTATTCAGAAGCTGGTATAAAGAAATAAATTGAATGCTGTTGTTTTTTTTCCAATAAGGAAGACAGAATAACCAATTGATGTCACATTATGCAGGATATGGGGACATACTAATGATTTTTCACATTACCCATTTCCAACTGACATCTTAATTCTAACCTCCTGCCTCAGATGGGGGAAATATGTATTTCTGCTACTTCCTAAAATAGTTTAAATGCAAATGCACAGGTTTGAATCATGTGCACTAAGGAAGCCCAATAATTTCCTCCTTTTCTAAAGACAGTTAAAAACTCTTATCATATCTGGAGGCAGCAATGGGAGACTGATTAAAAATTGCAACGAACTAAACAGTTTTCTTTCAGGACGGCCTTTGAAAGTCAAGTTATACAGGTAAGAACTGTCCATACGGCATTAAGAAGGGCAATTTCTGTTGGTCACGTCTCCTGGGAGGAAAGAAAATTATATTCGGCTTCCTGCAGGGTCGTGGCTCTGTCAGGCACTGCTGTTTGGAGCTTGCAGCTATATCTGAAAGTCACAGCTTTCATTCTAAATGGGAAAGTTAACCGTATTTCTAGATTTGGCTTCATTACACCAAGTGAAATTGCCAGATAAAATCCTGGAACATCCTTAAAGGGCTTTCCTTTCAGAGGAATGAGTAAGACAATCCTAATTTCTAGTGTGTGTTTTTAAATTAGTGTTGAGCTTTAGTATGCATTCTCACTGATGTGCAGATGAGCTAAATTATATGCAAAGAGTGTATTTTACTTGCCATGTTAACAAACCAAAGAACGTGCTGGAGAGAGAAAGGAGGGAGTGAGGAGAGAAGACAAACCAGCCCAGGAAGAGAGGCATCTTACTTCTCATGAGGCCCGCTCCTTGCTGGCGCCCGTGCCCGATTCCAAAGCTGGGAGCCAGGCCAAATGGGGATCCCCTTCCTTGGAAGGGTTGAGGACAAGCCATTGCCTACGACCACCCTTCAGACAAACCCCACCGCTCTAGCAAGAACACGCAAGTGCACGCACACATTCGGACACACCTGCATACACACGCACTCACACACACATGCTCATACCAGTGCCCACAGACACACCTGCACGTATGCATTCAGATACTCACACTCATACACCCGCATCCACTCTTGAACTCACACATTCGCACTGCAGACACACACGCATACATGTGCACACACATTCGCACTCGCACACGCTCTTATACTCAATTCCACGCATGCACACAGAGCAGCCACCCTTACCTATCTCTGCTTTTCCAAGTCTTCCATCTCTGAGGGTCATTTGCCTACACCTGTAGCCTTTAAATCCCCCCATCTGCCTGATATAGTTTCATTAAGGTTCAAGATTAGGATCTAAAAGTTGAAATACATACACATTTACTTTGGGAGGGGAGAGGAATGGGGCCCAGGAGCACACCCACAGCCATGGGCCAAACTCCAGCAGGAGCAGAAATGCAAAGGGAAAGGATTGGAAGGGGGGAGCCTGGGGGAAGAAACTCATTAATACTGACAGGAAGTTAAAACCAAATTACAAGAGAATTACAAAGAGAAAAAAATGCAGTGAAATAAATCCTTTGAAGAGGAACTTTTGCTAGACAGGCTGCTCCCGACAAAAAGCTAAATCATTTCATCTAAATTTAAAAGTGAAAATTAAAACGACAAGGGTAACGGGCCTGAGCACGGGAGGTTACCACCCTCTCCTTGAAGACTGAGCAGAACACCTTTCATTCCCACGCTACTGTTATTTCCAAGAACGTGTCAGGACTCTGTCCCCCTGTGAGGCTCAGCCCCTCATCTCTACCCCAGACACTAGGACCAGAGCCACCAAGGCCCCCTGCCTACCAGGCCCCATGCGCCATGTGAAAGAGGAACAAGGACCTCAGCCTCGGGGATCCACCCCACCTTCACCAGGTACCCCAAGCACTTGCTCCAAACGGCTGGAACCCACTGGACTTGGCTGTGCTAAGACCATATCCTGCCTTGTCCTGACCAATGACAACAGCGACCTTCTTCAGCTTACGGCCCTTCTCTGGGTTCAGTTATTCACTGCCTGACTATTCTAGAATCCCCACCACTGCACCACACACCTAAGTGGCAGAGACCCTCACAGAGGTGTGG